CTTCCTTCTGGCATCTCCGTGGCCCCGCGGCGACCGAAGAGCACGCTGGGGGTCCGGCTTCCTTCGCCGCGTGGGATTCGAGTGTCATCTGCAGCTGCTTCCTGCGCAGTCCCGGTCTCCTAAACTTTGACCGTAACTTTGCTTTGTTCCTACCAGTCCTCAGTAAGCTTTTGTGTTTTGGTGGGGGGTTTTTTTGTTTGTTTGTTTTGGGGGGTTTTTTGAGTGGGAGTCTCCCTCTGTCGCCCAGGCAGGAGTGCAGTGGCAAGCTCACGGCCACCGCAGCCTCGACCTGCTGGGCTCAGGAGATCCTTCCACTTCAGCCTTCCAAGTAACTGGAACCACAGGCACGTGCCACCACGCCCGGCTAATTTATTTTGATTTATTGTAGAGACGAGGTCTCGCCAAATTGTCCAGACGGGTCGCGAACCCCTGGGTTCACAATCCTCTTGCCTCGGCCTCCCAAATTGCTGGGATTACGGGCTTGAGCCATCGCGCCCCACGCCCGACCCCTCAGTGAGGTCTTGACAGCGTTGCGCGACAGGTTGTAGATGCGACACGGGCGTCTGGGCCCTACCGCGATCCTCGGAGGGTTAGGGCTGCCGCTGTTTTGATGATGGGCCAGAACCAGCATACTGCGAGGACTTAGTTTTGATTCAAGCAAGAGACCTCTTGAAAACATGGAAAGTTATTGTATCCTTGTTTTTCATGATTAATCTGAATCTCCTTAATGACTGATATTGTCAAACATCTTTTTTGTGTGTGGTTATCTTGCACCCGTCTCTCTTCTTTGTAAAACGTCCATGCAAATCTTTAAAAAAATGAAATAAACCCTTAAAGCAGGTTTTGCTTTTTAATATCTCTGCAGCCTTCCTGACTCTTTTATGCAGTGTATGTGTGTGCATCCGGGGAGCTGATTCCAGCACTTGTCATTTTTGTAAAATAGTCCCAACTTAAATGGAACTGAACTCTGGAACTCATCGTGTATGGAAATCTCTGAGACTGACACAGTTTTGCATCTGCCTCTGGATGGGTCGCGATGTGCTGGATTAAAGGCTGTCACTTCTACCTGAATTTTTATGAAACGGGTTTGCCTGAACATACTGGCAAGGTGTGCTCCCGTTTCATGTTAAAAACCAGTTTCCAAGGAAATTGAAAAGTCAGTTTTCAGACTTGACATTCAAAACACTTCCATCTCATTCTTTAAAAAGATGCAAAGTCATTGTGGAAAACTAAGGCCAATAGTTCCTTTCTCTTTACCACAATATTTTCCCTCTACTTAACAATAGTACTGTTGTGCTAAGTGAATTTTACTTAATACAGGACTCTTAAATTCTCAAAACGGTAAGGGCATTGCAAAGTTTGTCTTGTCTGTTCTGTGTCCCCACCGAGGAAATAAAATGTTTCATTTAAGCGGTCATGTAGAGATTCAAGATAAACTCTGATTTTGCTTAACTGAAACAGTAGTTTTTGTTATTGTTTTAATGTGCTTTTTATGCATAATTGCCGCATTGGTGGGTCACCAAATTGCGACCTCTGCAACATAATAATGTGTTACCAGCACTGACAGTTAAGCCATGAATAGGAAATAAGATTGGGAAATACTATCTGGACTGAGATATTAAGGGAAAGCATGATATACCAGAGACAGCAAGGGGACCTGGAAAAAGATACTGTTCCAACCTGTAAATAAGAAAACAGAAAAGGAGCCTTATTAATATTTAAGATACCAGCTAGTGAATTAATACTGTAATTTAGATATCTGACTTAGGTATTCTATTTTATTCACCATATCTTTCCCCTTTTCCAAAAACAAGGCATTTCACTTATTTAAAAAATGGTAAGTTCAGTAAAGACACAGCTTGAGGTTTGAACCAACATGTTGTATGACCTAGATATGCTTTTAACATTCACAAGTTTGTCTATAGACCTAGAAGCAAGCCAAAATCATTAGCTCACCCAATAGCCTCCTAATTTTCTCAGCCAGATTCCTTTCTGCAACCTAAATTACCTATGCTAGTTGGCTTCCCAAGTCCTACCCCACACCCACCTCTGACCTCATTTCTACTAAGCACTTTGTTACAGCTACACCAGCCTGCTCCCTGCTTCTGTAACACCAGGGCATCCTCTTGCCCTAAGGCCTTTGCACTATTATTTCTGTCTGAAAGGATCTTTCCACCAAATATCTGTATGGCTAGGACTCTCATTTCTGCCCAGTCTTTGCTTGAAAGTCACTTTTTTTTTTTTTCCAAAGAAGCCTCCCCTCATCATCTTGTTAAAACACTGCCCCTCCCTCACATCCTCTCTTCTTTGCTTCCGTTTTTTTCATAGTACTTGCACCTTCTAACATAATTACTATTTTTTTTTTGGTACAGTTGTCTGTCTTCACTAGAATGTAAGCTCCACGAGATTAGGAATTTTTGTTTTATTCAGTGATGTTTCCTTAGTACCCACAATACTAGAATAATACATAGCACAGAGTAGATGCTCAGTAAATGTTTAAGTGAATAATTGAGTGGATGAATCATTTCCTGAAAGACTCCAAAAGGAAAAGACCTAATTTAAACTATTTAAAAAACAAAAATCTGCCAGGCATGGTGGCTCATGCTGGTAATCCCAGCACTTTGGGAGGCCAAGGTTAGAGCATTGCCTGAGTCCAGGGGTTTGAGACCAGCTTGGGTAACTTGGCGAGAACTTGTCTGTACAGTAAATCAAAAAATTAGCCAGGCATGGTAGCATGAGCCTGTAATTCCAGCTACTTGGAAGGCTCAGTCAGAAGGATCGCCTGAACCTACCAGGTAGAGGTTGCAGTGGCTGTGAGCGTGCCACTGCACTCCAGCCTGGGCAGAGTGAGACTCCAACTCAAAAATATCCTTGGTGTTGAAAGATTAAGTTATTTAAAAATTGGCCATTAAGCCATTGCTTTCATTAAGTTCTGGCCTGGCCATACTGCTCTTTGAGCTATGGCTGGGCCATGCTTCTCCTTGAGCTCTGGCCCCCTCCACAGTCTGGGGAGGTGGATTCCCCCTTTTATTTCTCTCCAATTTACTTTCTAAATAAACCATATTTTCCAATCTAAAAAATAAAATAAAAATTGGCAGTTGTATGTTCTTATCTTGCAATTACTGCCACTAGAATGCTAGAGAAAAGTTTATGACAGAATTGTAAGCTATGCCTTCCCTTCACCTTAAATAAATACATCTTGGGCATGAGTCAAAGCCAGTTTGCTAGTAAGAGAAGTAATAGAGTATAAGGTAGGCTCTTTCAGATAGTTATGGAAATTGAGGCGTTGTAGAGTTGGGGGAGAAAAGAGAATGCTGCTGGGCGCAGTGGCTCACACCTATAATCCCAGCACTCTGGGAGGCTGAGGTGAGGAGATTGCTTGAGCCCATGGTTTCGAGACCAGCCTGGGCAACTTGACGAGACTTCATCTCTACAATAAATCAAAAAGTTAGCCAGTCATGATGGCACGGGCCTGTAGTTCCAGGTACTTGGAAGACTGAGGCGGAAGGATCGGAAGAGTCAGGCTGCAGTGCTCAGCCTAGGCAACAGGGTGAGACTGACTCAAAAAAAAAAAAAAGAATGCTTACAGAAGCAGCTAATTTCAAAACAAAAAAAGGTAAGCACCTAATTTAATACAGATTGCAATTTCTTCCCATGTAGTCTTAAAAACATCCTATTCATATCAGTTGTTACAAAGGAAACCTGGGAAGTGATGACATGAGATGCCGGATTCTTTGGCTATCAATCAGAAATTTAAACAAAGCAAAACAAGCCATCTTAAGAAGCACATGATAAGGATGCACCTGTGGCTGTTATTACAAAATGTTTGATCCCTCAGCAGCAGTGTCCAATCTGTCTGATTAACACAGGAAAGAAGGACAAAAAGGGATAAGGCCAAAATCAGGTGTAAGATGCTTTTAAATGGGCCACTTCCAGTGATTTCTAAACCTACAAGCAAAGATTCAGAATATCCAGATTGCCTATTTTTTAGTTTTAAAACAATTTCTTCTACGTATTTATGTGATCGCAAATTGACTCTAATTCCTTTTTCAGAAACAGGTAAAGTATGACATTAACCTCCCAAGCAAATTGCATCTATCAAACTGTTGCATTAATAATTTTGTCTTAAACCATTCTATTAACTGCAGTTTCTTCATAATGTATTATCAGTGTCTTCTACCACCTCTACTGAGCATTAAATAGTACTATGCATTCATTAACCAGGTCCAGTGTCAAACCCAGCAAATCAGTATTGAAATAATGATTGACAATAAGAGGAAACTTTTTTTTTTGGTAGGAGTCTAACTCTGTTGCCCAGGCTGGAGTGTAATGGCATGCTCACAGCCACCGCAGCCTGAACCTGCTGCACTCAGGCGGTCCTTCTGCCTCAGCCTTCTGAGTAGCTGGAACTACAGGCGTGCACCACCACACCCAGTTAATTTTTTGATTTATTGTAGGGATGAGGTCTCACCAAGCTGCCCAGGCTGGTCTTGAAGCCCTGAGCTCAGGTAATTCTCTCGTCTCAGCCTCCCAAAGTGCTAGGAATACAGGCTTAAGCCACTGTGCCCAGCCTGACACATTCTAAAAACAGACAACAGTAGGATATCCTGATTCTTTTTTACAGCTTTAATAGGGCAACAGTGAACAGAAATCTTAGAGCATTTAAGAGTGCTCTAAAATCAGCCCAGCATGCATTTTTGTCTTGCATGAGACTTTTAAAGGAAATATTAAGCCAACTCAAGACTAAGAGACAGAGGCAGAAATAATATGAGGCTTTGCTAATAAATGCAGCCATAACAAAATAATAACGCTCACAAGTCTCTTCAACAATAGCTCCACAGTACAAAATTCTAAATAGAAGGGACCATATTATAAATATGTTTTTTAAAAAGTCTGT